TAATTTCCCTTGTGGTTTCTTTTTTGACCATTGGTTGTTGGAGAGTATGTTGTTTAATTCAACAAATTTGGAGATTTTCCAGTGTTCCTGCCATTATTGATTCTTAGCGATTTTTTGAAATTTATTAAGCCTTAATTTGTGACCTAACGTATGATCTGTTCTGGAGAAGATTGTACCATGTGCACTTGAAGAATGTGGATTCTGTTGTTGGGTAGAGTGTTCTGTATATGTTCGTTATATCTAGTTGGTTTATTGTGTTCGAGTTCTCTGTTTCCCTACTTATCTTCTGATCTATTCATTTAGAGTAGGGTATGGACGTCTCCAACTATTATTTAGCACTGTCTATTTGTCCCTTCAGTTCTGCCAGATTTTGCTTCATATATTTTGATGGTCTATTATTAGGTGTGTATATGTTTATAATTGTTTATCTTCCTTCTGTATTGAAACATCTATTAATATATAATATTCTAAAGTCTATTACATTTGATAGCCACTACTATAGCCATGCCCATTCTTGTTTACTATTTCCATAGAATATCTTTTTCTATCCTTTCAGTCTACTTTTGTCTCTGGATCTAAAGTAATCTCTTACAAACTATATACAATTAAATCATGTTTCTTTTAATACATTCTTCCAGTTTCTGTCTTGATTGGAGAGTTTAAAACATTTATATTTAGAGTAATTTACTGGTAAGTTGGGACTTCTGTAAATTTGCTATTTGTTTTCTATATGCCTTTTAGCTTTTCGTGTCTTTTGTTTCCTGTATTATGTCTTTTGTGTTTAATTGATTTTTTGTGTAATGAAACTTTAATTCCTTTCTCACTTCTTTTTGTATATATTCTATAGCTATTTTCTTTGTTTACTATGGGGATTACTTTTAACATCCCAACATGACTTAAAACACTCTAATTTGAATTGATACCACTTTAATAGTATATAAAGACTGCCCAATCCACTTTATGCATTGTGTGTCTAAAAATATAGACAAATAACAGTTTTTAAGAATATATTAGTTTCTGAGAAAACAATTTTCCTTCATTTTCATACTCACAACACTTATGACACAAGATATGTAGGTTTTCTGCACCAAGCAACACTGACACAAACTGCTTGGAATTAGTGCCCAATCCCACAGGTTAAGGGTTTAATCTCACAGACTGCTCCTACCCCCTGCTTTAGACACAAGTCCAGGTTGTCACCTGAGCTTCTGACCAATAGGCTAAAAATCAGTGTTTCTATAACCCCCTCCTCAGGTCTGATAATCTTCTAGAGCAGCTCACAGAACCCAGGAAAACAGTTTACATACTATTTCTTTTTTTTAATCACAAATGGCATTTTAAAGATTACAGTTGAACAGCCAGATAAAGAGATACATAGAGGGTGAGGTATGGAGACGGGGCACAGAGATTCCATTCTGTTTCTGGGTACAACACCCTCCTAGTACCTTCAGGTGTTCAACAACCCAGAAGCTCTCTGAACTCGATACTTCGGGGATTTTTATGGAGGCTTTATCATGTAGATATGATCAATTATTAACTCATTTTCTAGCCCCTCTCCCCTCTGGGGAATAAGGGATGGGGCCAAAAATTACAAGCTTCTAATCATGGATTGATCTTTCTGGTGATCAGCTTACCAAGAGTCACCTCATTAGAACAAAAGATGCTCTTATCACCCAGGAAATTCCAAAGGATTTAGAAACTCTGTGTCAGGAACTGAGGCAAAGACCAATTTACAGATTTCTTATTCCACCATTAGTCTCTTAAATCATGTACCAAATGATTTGACCTGCCAGACCCTATTACCATTTCTTGCAGGGCAGTTCAGGGCTAATGGTAATGAGCTCCTTCAGCTTTTGTTCATCTAGGAATGACTTAATTTCTCCTTCATTCTTCAAGGATAGTTTTGTGAGATATAAAATTCTTAGTTAGACAGTTTCTTCCAGCATTTTGAATATATCAACTCATTGCCTTTTGGCTTCCAAGGTTTCTGATGAGAAATCTACTGATAATCTTACTTGGGATCCCTTATATGTGACAAATTGCTTCTCCCTTGCTACTCTTAAGATTCTCTTTGTCTTTGGACACTTTGATTATAATGTGTCTCAGTGTGGATTTCTTTGAGTTTATTCTACCTGAAGTTCATTGAGCTCCTTGGAGGTCTATATTCATGTTTTTCATCAAATCTGAGATATTTTCAGCCATTATTTTTTTCAAGCAATCTCTGCCCCTTTCTCTCTTCTAAGACTCCCACAGCGCATATGCTGGTCTGTTGTCCCACAGGTCACTTATGTGCTCTGTTCAGTTTTCTTCAGTCTCTTTTCTTCCTGTTCTTCAACTTGACAATTTCAATTGTCTTATCTTCAAATTAGTTGATTTTTTTGCCTGCTGAAATCCACTTCTGAATCCTGCTAGTCAGTTTTTCATTTTAGTTATTATATTTTTCAGATCCAGAGCTTGATTTTTAGTTTCTCTTTAGGTTTTCTACCTCTTTATCAAAATTTACATTTTGTACACACATCATTTTCATAACTTTGTCCACATCTTCTTTAACTCTTTGAAGTTTTTTAAGACAGTTGTTTAAAATTCTTTGTGTAGTAAGTTCACCATCTGGTCTTTCTCAGAGACATTTCTGGAGTTTTTTGTGTATTTTCCTTGAATGGGTCATACAATCCTGTGTCTTTTTCTCTTGTGATTGTTTTTTGTTGAAAACTGGACATCTAAGTCTTATAATGTGGCAACTCTGGCAATCAGATTCTTCCTCTTCCTCCGGGTTTGCTCTTTTTGTTTTTTGTTTGTTTACAGTTTTTTTTTCAATTGATGTATGTTTTCTCTGTGCCAAGATCAGCCTGAGATGTAAACTTAAGGTTTTCTCAGATGTTTTCTGGGCCTGCAATCTTTTCTTGGTTATGGGTGGTGACTTTCCAAATTCCCTGGTATATGTGGTTGTTTGTGAATATACTAGTTCTTAAATATTTGGTTCCCAAAAGGTGAAAAAGGGAAAAGTGAAGGGGGAAAGAAACAGGTGCTAGTCCTTTCAAGTACCCTGGAATCCTGTCAGTTGTAGGAGTGTCTTGTATCAACGGCAGTGGGAGCTGCAATGATAGCTTCCCACCTCTGTGTCTGCACCTCATGCTCAGGAGCAGCAATTAGCCATCAGAATAGATTCCCCAATATTTGGAGCACAAGGTTTTTATTGTCCACTCTGGCTCAAACAAGCTGAGGCAAGCTGCTCCAGAAACAGTTTCCTGGTATAGGACTCAGGGTGTTTTGGGGTAGCCACTACCTACCTAAGAGCTGAAATTGACTGAAACTAGCTGAAGTTTACCTTCCAAATCTTCCCTTGGAAGTCACAAGCATTTAATAGACTCCATTGCTCCAAAGTAATTACATCAAGCAAATTCTGCAGGTATAATTGTTATCTTGGTGGGGACGTAGATTCCTTGTGCTTCCTACTCTGCCATCTTCCCTGGCATCACTTCCTGTGTTCTTTTAACATAATTCTAATGATCTTATAAAGTTCCTTTATTTTCTGGCACAATAGAGATGCACCAGGCTCACTTATTCCTGCCTTATTCCTGACTTGGAGTCAGGAAATTCTCCAAGGATGACTCTTCCTTTTAGTAAAGACTGGAATTGAAGGCCAAAATCAGTGTATGAAGGTTTTGTGTTTGTGTAGAGTCTTTCCTATTTAAATATAGCATTATTTTTATTTCTGATTTTTATTATAATTTCACTAATGCTGAAAATCTTGATTACTCAAGGTATTATTTTAAAACCATTTTATTGTGAAAAATAACACTCAAATGGAGAAATGAATATAAGTATACAGCTTAATGGCTTATTACAAAATAAAGACCTTTGAAACACTGTCAGCACTGCAGGAGCCCCTGCAGTTCCTCTTATTGTTGCCCCCTCCCTCCCCTCTAATATTATTCATAGCCTATTGTCTGGACACAACTTCTTTGAATTCCTCTATTTCTGCCCCGTGGTGTTCCTGTCATTGATGTAAAAGCTGCAATTGCTTTCTTAAATTTTGCTTTCTTTTTAAAAAAAATTTGTGTTCGAATGTCGTTAACTTTTCCTTGATCTGTGGCAACACTTTTCTGGTGAATTTTCCATTTTCTTTTGAGAAATTATCATCTTTAATCTGTTTTAATGTTTTAGTATCTCCTATGGATACTGTATGTTTTACTCCTGTCTTGGTTTCGTATTTGAATGGATTGGTCTTTTCTGGACCCTCCCGATGGAGGAGAAGATGGGAGATGATGGGGTAGCAATTCTAGTTTCTCAGCTCAAGAGCTCTCTCTCTTGCTACAGTAATTAACAACTTTAAAATATATGATTCTTGGCTCCTATCCTGTTTCAAGATGTTCTAGCTTCTTTTTCCCATTCATACCAGTCAGTCACCAAGGAATACTGCCCTTGACTTCCAAGACAATCTCCAACCCTTTAAAAAATTTTTCTTACCTCCTCTAATGCTTGATCTCAGACCTGCCCACAACATTCCCACTCAGGTGAGAGCCTCTTCCATAGGTGAATATTTGTAAATGCTTTCTCAAGTTTTGCGAAATCCAAGACCTATCTGAACCCTCCATTCTTCTCACCTTTGTGGCTTTCTGAACCCGTTCTGCTGGTTTGGGATGGTCTTTCACTCTCCCCTTAAACATAAACATAATTGGGAATCTGAAGGTTTTTCTCGGAGTTTTGCTGATGGCATAAGTTGTGGACTATTTTATTTGCTCTTTGTGCTTTTTATGAAAGAAAACCAAAAACATGCCAAGCAGGAAAAGTGGTGTGAATCACATCTAGGCTTCCATTGTGCTTCTATCAACCAGAACTGCATTTTAGAAAGCCCAAACTAGAGAATGGCCTGGAGGAGGGATAATTCGGGCAAGAGATGATGGAGCCTGGATTAGGGTGGGATATGAAAATGGGGAGAAGGGACATGTGGCACTGGAATTTGCGCTAGGGTAACTTCCACCTGACTTCCTCTCTTCAAGGATACTGAGAAGTCAATATCCATCTTGGGCATGTCTTCATCTCCTGGAAGCAGTGGAGTGCACACCTCTTGGAACCGTGGCGCATCAGGCATTCAACACATCCCTCAGTGCACAGAACTGGAGAGGATCTCCTTGGTCTCTGCTGAGGCACCCAGGCAGAATGCAAGTGAAATGGGGCCACCGTTCAGTATGTCGCTGCCTGACCATGGTGCGAACTACTGCCCCCAAATGACTTTCACTCCTTCCCAGATGACTTACAGTCAGGGAATGTCTTCCTCCCAGCCAGGAATGATGATTTTCAAGGAGCCCCAAGAGATGCCCTTAGGAGATCCCAATATTCCAGGGGTGGCCATGACCTTTGGTGGAAATCTAATTATGCCCCCCAGTGGACTGCCAGTCTCACCTCCCAGTGGAATCCCAATGATGTCCCACGTCAGAGTGCCAACAATGCCTTATTCTGTCCTCCCAATGTTACCTTCTAATGGAGGCTCCTTAGCACCTAAAATGTTATTGCATCCAACCATGCCTCCCACGGAGGCCCAGGCAATGCTCCCCTCTTTGGCTCAGATGTTGCCTCCTAGAGATCCCCATGACTTTGGGATGCCCCCTGCTGGGCCCTCATCCTTGCTGACTTTGGAATCCCAAGGCTCTTTTGTGAGTCAGCCAGTCTCCCAGGAAAACTCCTTCCTACCTGAGCAGCCCTTACCGGCTCCAGGGACAGCAGAGCAGAACCCCAGGGCCCAGGAAAGGGCTCCCAGGAAGAGATCCCCAGTTTCAAGGCCTTACTGCTGCGAGTATGAGAACTGTGGAAAAGCTTATACTAAGCGCTCCCACCTCGTGAGTCACCAGCGCAAACACACAGGTAAATGAGGTCTCAGAAGGTGGGGTGGTGGAGGAAACTCTGGAGGTATCAGAGGGAGGGGGACCCTGGTTTGTAATGGTTTGGGATCAACTTAACATCCTCCCGGTTTGGGTTCTCAAGCTCTATTGGCCCCACCAACTTGCTTTCCCACAGCCCAGTATGACTGTGCTAAGACGGTGGGGACTCCTGCTTGTGCTGTCTCCTCAAGGCTTGCCTACGTTTTACCTTTTGATTCCTCAACTTCGACTGCTCTGCTTAAAGTCCGACCCCTCCCTTCCCAATGGCTGGCGTATTCCTCTACTTAATTCCTTCTCTCCCTTGTCATCCCCTAGGTGAGAGGCCCTATAAATGCACGTGGGAAGCCTGTACATGGTCCTTCTTCCGTTCCGATGAACTTGGAAGACATACTCGGATACACACCAGACACCGACCACATAAATGTGACCAGTGTGGCCGACAGTTCATGAGATCTGACCATCTCCGACAACACCAAAGGACTCATATGCGGGTGCCAATATCCTCGGACCCACAGGCCAACAATGGACATATGTCTGGTCCTCCTCCTGTTCCTGGTCTTTAGGTCATTCTCCTCTTCCCCTCATTTTGGCCTCTCCACCCAGATCTTGCCTGCCTCTGACCAGCTAGTCTCTTTGGTAGGTGTAGGCTTAGGTGAAGAGAAAGATTATGAGGCAGAGTTGTTGAAGCCCATATGAGCTCTGGACCCAGTCAGGGACTCCTCAAAAACTGTCTTGGATGTCCTCACATCTCTGGGACCACCTGCTTCTGCCAAGTTTAGCCACATGGGAAGATGGAGCAAAGTAGAGATTGGGAGCATTATTAAAAAGCTCATTATCTTCTGTCACTCCCAGCTTGAAACCCTTTAGTGACTCTCCTTTTCTGGCTACATAAAATCCAAGTTCCATAGTTCCCAGAGCTAGACTATGTTCAAATCCTGAATTTACCAATTATTAGCCTTGAGACCTTGGGAAAGGTCTTTGATCATTATGCCAGGTTTCTTCTGTTAAATGAGACAAATAGTGTTGGACTGTTTTAAATACATCTTATGTCCAGAATCAGATTCTCTCTGGCACTCATCAGGCATGTGCCCAGAGTTTGTCTCCTCCCATCATTTCCAGACTTGGATGGATGGATGGAATGCCCCCCAGAGGATGTGGGACCTGGCATGTCAAGCAGCCACTAAAAACCCAGGAATGTGGAGAAGTTAATGCTCCTGGGGTGATACTTGACAAACGGGAGAAAGCCAGGCAGATAAATTCCCTCTTCTCTTCATTCCTGAACTAGTGCAAGGCACATTTCTCCACACAGTACAGCCAATGGAAAGGCCTCCCAAGTAGCCAGTGGACATACCTTCTGTGCCTCTTCGAGGCTTGTCGTGAAGCAGACTCAACTTGCTGTTACCGTGCGTTACCTCCCATTCTTCCTTGGCTTGCTTCCTTTTTCCCACTCTAAAATGCCGTGGGTTGGCATCACTCAAATAAAACATTGGTACTTAGTTCTTGTTCTAGGCTCCGTTTTCTAGGTGACTTTGGGGTGGAGGACAATCAACTAGGGGAGAGAAGGATGAACCCCGCTGTAACTTCCCCTTTCCCCCATGAAGCCCAGGTACCTGGATTCCTAAATATCAGGCATTACAGGGCCTGTCTGCCCTGCCTTTCTCATAGGGTTGAGAGTATAATGACTATCCTGACAACTCAGTCAGGTAGTTCAGAACTTCATTTCTGGACTTCTTAGCTGTTTTACTGAACAGCAAACTAATAGAAAGGAACTTGCCAAAGTTCTCAAGTGGCAGAGCTGGGATCTCAACCAGGATCTGTCCTCTCCAGAGGTACATCCTTATCTTAGAGATGGTGCCTTCTATGGGTGTCTCTTGTGCCCATTTTGTTGCCCAGCATCTCCAGGTGATGGCCACAGTGAAATGAATCAAGTCTGGTTTCTGTGGCCCAGGGATCATCTTGGTCTCAGGGCTGAGAGGTCCACTTTGGTGGTAGTCATGGAGAGGAGGGGGCACTTGAAGGGGGAAAGTCAGGCTTTCTGGAGGAGGTGATCAGTAAGCCAGGGTATGTAACAGCTAGTAATCCTTTAAATGTTGGGAAGGAAACTGAGCAGATGAAGAGGAAAGAGAATTCCAGGCAGAGAGAAGCTAGATCTGGCAACTACTCAGAGAAGAATCAGCCTACAAGTTTCCATTTATTTGACAAATATTCCTGAGCTCACAATACAGAGAACGCATGGCTATGGGGACAACTCATGGTAGGGGACAGAGACAATGGAAGCGTGTATCAGGGAAGAAAGACTGAAAGACTCTCAAGGAGGTGCTAAGTCAGACCTAAAGGCTTCATGGGGGTTAGCTGGACTTCCCATTTCCTGGACGTCTACCCTTAGTCATGTCCTGTGCTGGACACTAAGGACTTGGAGAGCATGACTGTGCCTTGCTGCAAGGCAGAAAAATTACAGACAAAAATTCTGAAAGTGCTCAATGTTGTCAAAGAGAAGAGCCAAACCTCTGTGGACTTAAACTTATTCCAGGCATCTGGGGGAGTCCCATGGCCTTGGCTGTGCCTGCCCATTCCACCTCCACCCTGACCCTGTCCTGCATGGCCACCTTGGAGGTCTGTTTCCTTAGCTGCCCCAGCATACTTGGGCCTGGCATCCCCATGGCTTCCACCCAGATTCCTAGAAAGGAGAGTGGATATGAAAAACAAAATTGGGGTAGAGGGTGCAAGTCTTGTGACCCAATTACTGGCCCGAGGGACAGCATTCTCAAGTACCCAAATGTCTTTCATTCTCAGCTGGGCAGTAGCTCCCTTTTATGGAGCAGGGCATCTCAGGCTCAAGGGCTAAGGCTGGTCCCCGTCTGCCCCTCACCTGATTCACGCAGCCCTGCTGGTAGGGTCATCAAACCTACCTGTTGCTTGTTGGGATGGTCTCTTGGTGACCCATCACTTTTGCTGAGGAATAGAAGCAGGTAGGAGCCAGAGTGGGCACCAGTGTGCGATGTATGCTACAGTGGTGGCAAAACAGAATCTTCCATCAATCCTTCCATCAAGCCCAGCCAAGATGGGCTTCTCAAATAATCCTCTGTCCATTATAATCTATTATATTATAATCTGTTATATCCTATATAATCCTATTATAATCCTCTGTCTCTGGGTCAGCCTTTCCTGCACTTAGTCCAGATCGGAGAAACTAAGATCCAGGTGACCTCTTGGCCACTGTATCCCCAGCACCAAGACCCCTGGATCAACGAAACTGGGAAAATAGAAGAGTCCATTAGGAGGCTTAGACAGAAGGCCTCCTGGCTCTCTAGAGTACACCCTAATGAGCTAATGGGGCATCTTTTTCTGGCTTGGCAGCCACTGGCTCTCCTGGATACGTTCACTTCTCCAGGCAGGCCCGATTACCCTACTTGCAGTGGCCTAGATCACTGGTCACTCAGCCTGGTCACAACCTCTCAGTGTCTGGCTCACTGAGGCCATGATGGGGTAGACTGTGCTGCTCGTCAGACCCTGAAGGATCAAGGGGTGGAGCTGAGGAGTCCAGGTCCACATCAGTGTCCTATTTGTGATCTTTCAGGCCCAACCATAACGAGACTTTGGCAGACCTTAGGCCAGAAGCAGCCCTCCCCACACAGGATTTGGTCAGAGCCACGCACTGCAGTTTTCTGGAGGGATTTGCTGGCAATAACTCACCACACCTGCATATTGAGGGCTTTGGTTGAAGCATTTTTCTCCCATCTGAGTACTTGTCCACTCCTAGAATTTCCCTCCTTTTCCTTCCTATCCCTCCTCCACAAAAAGGTAGGAGCCTTTTGTTGGAGGCAATGAGAGAATTGCCCCCACCTGTGCAGCAGTCCCGGAGCCCCTGCCTGGTGCTGTTTCATGGGGAAGGAAGCAACACTGGAGAGCGGGCACCTCTTCTTTTTGCTCCCTGCTTGCTCTCCAGCAGTAAGTGGACAAAGGCTTGATTTGTACTTTCAGTTAGGCTCATTGTGCTAGCTGATCGTCTCAGTCCTGAGGGCATAGCACTGGGTGATGGGCTGTCACAGGTGGTTATTTTTTATACACATATCTTATATATATTAATACATATCACCCAAATACAAGAGTAAGGAATGATATTTAATTTAAAACAATGTCTGGGTCTCCCAAAGACCCAGGACTCTAGCTTCTGGGGCCTCTGTGTGGTGACTGAGGGGGTCAAGTAGAACTTCAAATGTTGGAGGCAACCAAAGCCCAGGGATTTGTGGTCTGCTCCCTCTTAGTGCTCTGGGTGGAAAGTGCTTTGCAAAGTGCCCCCTTGGAAATGAGCAGTGGAACAGATCACATCCTTGGCTTTACGCAGACCTTTCTCCCAGGGGAATATCATCCAAGTTGGCAGTTGGGTGAGAATCCAAGTAAGGCCTAAGAGGACAGGGCCTGTAGAGCTGGGAGAAGGACCTAGACAGCTCGGGGAGATGGCTAAGCTCCTCAGAAGCAGGTGTCCAGCCATGCCCAGGACAGGAAAACAGACCACAGGTCCCTGCTGCTGCAGGCATGTCAGCAGAAGCTGTGATGGGAAGGCCCCGAGGGCCTATGGAAAGGATAGGTCCTTCCCCTGGCAGCCAGTACTTGACCCCTCTCTTCTCCTCCAACGCCACCACCCCTGTGTCCTGACAGCATATTGATAAGACAGAGGGGAAAGGGAGACACTTTGTCTGAGAGAAGAAACAGCTGAGACAGGGGGTTCAACATTTTAATAGATTAAGTTCATCCAAATGAGCTTCATTTAGTCTGAGACCACTTTATACTGGAAGTGATCCCTCCTCTTAACTCCATAGAAATGGACCTCCAGAATACATGAGCTCAGATATTGAAAATGCTACAAGAATTACACATCTAAACTGTGCATACATTGCAATCATCCCCATAAAAACATCTTTACACATACACGTGGAAGTAAGTACACAGGCGACCATCAAGAATTCACAGCACACTGATGAAAACAGTCACCCCGGAGAGGGAAGTGAATGAAGAGTGCTTCTGATTCTATTGAAACGCATACACGTATTCTCTGTACGTTTCAGAAAAAAACTAATGAAACCCTTAAAAGTTTACAACTAATATTTAAGCATCTACTCTGTGCCGGCACAGTGCTAGGTGCCCAGCAAAGAAGGCCTCAGCAGGGAGGATCTCTCAGCTCAACTCATTTCCTCAGAGGCTGCTGAGTTTGTGGTCACAGGCGAAACTGATCTGTGGACTCTCTGGTGCTGCTTTAAGTGATCGGATCGTGCAAAGCTCTTGTTGCACTGAGGACACAGGTAGGGCCGCTCCCGAGTGTGCTTTCTCTTGTGTCTGTTGAGTTCGTCTGAACGGGGGAATGCCCACATGCATCCCTTGACGTTGCATTTATAGGGCTTCTCTCCTGGACCCGAGAAAGAAAGGGAGACCCGTCATGCTTCAGGGGAGTGTGGGACAAGGCAGTTGGAAGTGAATGGAGAAGAAACGGGATTTGAACATGTTGGGGTGGGAGAGGGAGGGGAGACTGGAGGGGATGCGTGAAAAAGGAAGAGAAGGAGGGCAGTATGGGTTAGGAAGAGAAGGAGGGCAGTATGGGCTAGTAGGCTGATGGGAAATTGTGGAGGAGGGAGAGGAAAAGAAGAACAAAGATAGGAGGTCAGTGGGGGAGAAGAAAGTTGAGGGAGGGGCTCATCTGTTGGGCCTACTGGAGTCCAGGAAGCGACAGCCCCAGCAGAGGTAGGGTCAAGACCATCCTAAGAGGTCAAGCAAATACCTTCACTTTTCCCATAATCCCAGCACCGTCAACATGACAAAAGGCTGCAATCAGGTTGGTTCTGGCCCAGACCTAGATTCTGTTTGTGGAACTGCTTTATATACCCTTTCAGATTTGCCAACCTTTTCTAGGGTCTTCTGGGTCTCAGGCTTAGAGGGAGGTGGCAACAATCTTAAAAGATCCCAAAGTTTTGTAAAGGCACAAGTCTTAAGTCAATTTCCTGACACCCCCATCCTTTAGTCTTCACTCACCAGTGTGTAGGCGCTCATGGATTCGCAGGTGAGAAGACTTTGAATAAGATTTCCCACAGTCTTGGTATGTGCAGGTGTAGGGCTTCAAAATGTCAGAATTCTTCTGCAACTGACATCTCCGAGTCTTGAGGTTCCACTTTTGATTTTCAAGGGATTGTCCTTGGATCAAATGGGAACTTGAAATGTATGAGGATCCAGGGTATGGCAATGATGACAATGAGTGTGGCATCATACGACTTCCAAGGAGAGTGTGGTCATCACTGAGGGTCTTCATCGTACATCCTTGGAGGGTCTGGTCCCCACTGAAGGGCATCAAGCCTCCACTGAGGGTCTGGCATTCACTGGTGGTCTTTATCTGACACATGTAGAGGGTCTGGCCTCCACTGAAGGTCATCTGGCCCCCACTGAGGGTCTGGTATTCATTGACGGTATTCATCTGACCCCCAAAGAGGGTC